TTTTTTTGTACTCTTGGTTACTCTTTTACTGAATTTTAATGATTACCCTGGCTAATACAACATGATCCTCGATTTGTCAAAGTCCAAGGTCAATTGTTACTTTTACTTCTTCACAATGTCTGGACCTTAAAACACTTAATTCCATGTACTCATGTCTCAATTTGAATGCTTCTGCTTTTGTGTATTTTAACTTGATTTATGTATTTGAAACCCAAGAGACATTCTTTTTGCTATTTTGTACAGTTAAATGTGCTTTTAGACTCACCCATATATTATCCTTTTGCTTTTTATTCCTCCCATGTCACCATGCTTCTTACATCTGGGATAATTTTCCTTCTGCCATACACTTTAGTGCTTCCTTTTGTTTGGGTCAACTTAACAATTTTTCTCAATGTATTTGTTTTTCTTTTTTCTTTTCTTTTCTTTTGAACTCAGAGCCTCATGCTTGCTAGGCAAGTACTTTTACCGCTTGAGCCACTCCGCCAACCCCTCAATGTGTTTTTTAACTGAAAATGTCTTTATTTTCTCTTCATATACTGGAGTGGACTCTGGTAGAGTCCAAACCAAAGCAAAACAGAGCTTCCTTGGAGCTCCAGCCCCCAGTTTGGTGGCATTGTACTTTTGTTCACTTATCCTTGTGGGGTACCAACTGCCCTTGCCCAACCTCTCAGCTTCTCAGCTACCTCACTTGAAACTGGTACATGCCATAGCAAAAAAGCTCCCAAATGATGGATTCACCTCTCTGGGGTTCCTCCCTTGTCCTGTAAGATCTTGGCTCTGGAAATTTCATTGCTTTCCAATGTTCTCAGGAAGATTTATTTTATATTTTACCCAGCTTTTCTAGTCGTCCTCAGTGGAAGGGTTAGTCTGTGTCTCATAGTCTAATAATACAGGAATGCCCACTTCCTGTCTGTCTTCTAAGATGATTCCTGGAAACTGCTGTTTAACACCTGTGTGTACACACATTGGTCAGAACACAGTCATGTGACCGCATCCGCTGGAAAACGTAGTCTTTAATATAATCTGAGATCATAATGTTGATTAAAATCATTCCATAGGTAGTTGGGAGAACAGATCCTAAGGGCTATGGTCTCTGTCTCCCAGTTATTGAATATGATGTGGTCTACAGCAAGTTATTTAAAGTCTGAGTCTCGAATTATTTGTCCTTAAAATGAGGGTGATGATAATAACATTTCTGAATCTCAAAGAGATACCAATAACCAATATCTATTGAGCTAAGACTTACTGTTTACCAGGCACTAGTTCTCTCAGTCCACCCAACAACCTTATGAGGTAAGTATTCATTTTATGATGAGAAACAGAGGCACAGAGAGGTTAAAGAGCCTGTTACACAGCTGTCAGGTGCTAATCCTTCACTATTACCTGATCCCACCCTGTGAACCACAAAGCCTAATTGTTGGAGTTGTTGAAGGAAGGTGACAGGACCAGCAGAGGAGCCTTGCTGAGTGGCTGAGGGCAGCACAGGGCAAGCTAGAAAGGTGATCCCCTGAGAGAAGGACTTGGCACAGACCCTAGTTTAGGACCTGTCAATTTTTTTTGGTTTTCAAAAACAACTTTATTCATGACATATTTTTTTTAAAAAAAATTTCTACCCCTTGGAAAAGAGCTAAAAAAAAAACTCCACCTCCTACCTCCCTGTTCCCACTTCATCCCATTCCCTTCAAATAAAAGTGAAAAAAAGGCAAGGAAAACAAAACAAAAAAAACCTGACAAAACAACCCCCCCCCAAAAAAAACCTCCTAAAACATAGTAATAAATTTCTTTCACTGGAGCTCAAAGATCTTCAGGCTATAGAAATCTGCAAAGACACTCAAAACAGAAAAAGAAACATAAAAGGAAACAAAGTAGGTCACCAGGCAATCTGGAGGGCAGGGAGCCCAAGAGAGGGATGGGGTGGGCAGTAGACCTGGCAGGAAGGGAGCAGGCAGGAGGGAACTGTGAAGAAAGGCAGGGAGAAGATGGAGGGAAGGAAACAAGCAGAACACTTTGGTGTCCTTCCAGAGCCCTGGGTAAAAAAAACAAAACAAAACAAAACAAAAAAACCCCTCCTATAACCCATACCCATCTACCCTTGAGCAGCCCCCAAGGATGTGAAAGACAGCAGGGAAACACAGGGAACACCTTGCACAGTGGAGAAGTCTCCGTCCCCTGCAGGACCTGGCAGTTTTTGACTGACAGGACCATCTATGGAGCTAGAGAAAGAGATAGCAGAGGTAACAGGGATCCTACCAAGAATATACTCCCATGGCTTCATTTAAAAAAATCATTCTGTGATCAATTTGTAAATTTTTATTAAAGTAAAACATGCATAAAGTTATTCAAATTATTAAGTGTATACTCTATTTTTAAAATGAATACATCCATATGACCAGAGCCTCGATCAAGAAACAGAACATTAGCTCCAAGTCTCCCCTAACCCCCTCTCCACTTTCGTCTCTGCCCCTCTCATGGCTAGTCACTATCCTGAATTCTAACATCATAGATTTGTTTTGCCTGTTAAGGATGCTGTAGGAGTAAAAGGATGCAGGGTGTTTTCTTGTGTCTGTTTTTCACTCAACATTGTATTGTGAGATACATTCCTATTGCTGTTTATGGTTGCAAATTGGTCATTCTTATTGCTGTGGCTATCACAGTTTTGAGTGCTTCAACTGTTCATAAGGCATTCAAAGGGTGCTGTTAGGAACTTTCTAGAATGTGTACTTGGGTGCACAAATACCCTCCTTTTTGTGATTATATAGAATTTAAATTGATGATCCTAAAGAATGTGTGATGTTCAATTTTGACAGGTATGGTCTTGGCTTCATTTTATAGGTTGATAGAAAGGAAAGTACAGAAAAGAAAAAGATTTGTCCAAGGTCACCTTGTTACTGAGCTAGAACTGGAAACTGTGCAGTTTGTCCATGCTAGATTTCAAGAGAGAAGCCTCACAACACATGTAATGTATGAGCTGTCCTGTGATCTAACCTCTGCTGGGATGGAGACCAAGCATTCAAGGGCAGCTGTTAGGTAGGGACATAACTGTAAACACAAGTTCATATCAGAGGGAGCTGGTGCAGGGGCTGCTCCACATCTTATGGAAGAACAATGGATGGCATGTGTCTCTCATTAAGTAAGAGACTTCAGCCAGGCCCTGCGCAAGGCACTGTCCTGTACATTATCTCAATTTTTGGAACAAAACTCACATCAAATCATATCCATAAGGATTCTAAAAACAACGTAAAAAGAGGTGAACATTAAGAGGTGACGTGAACTCTTAAGTAAACAGCAGAAATTTAGAACAGTGCTTCTCAAAGGATGTATGGAAAAGGACCATATTCCTGTATCAGACCAGATACAAGAATCATTACAAGATCATGTATCTTGTACAATAAAAAAGAATTTCTAGAAAAGTAAAATAAAAAATATTCAAAATATAAGCTTGCAGTTTTTTTTTATTAAACAGGCATACATTACATTGTTAAATTGCTATCAAATTTTCTAAAAGCACAATTCTGTATTAGTATCTGTTGACTAATAGGATTTAGATCAACACTGGTTTATGGACTATTGTTCAAGTAGCACAGATTTATAATTCATCCATTTCCTATTGCCTTTCAAGAGATGATAATTTACCTTAGAGGCAGAAAGGCTTGAAAAGCAAGACCTGTGGAAATATGGAGACCCTGGAAACACACATACAGGCCTTGCCTACATGAAGCTTTTACCATTCCCCTTGAGATTCCTGTGCAAAAAAATCTTCCCAGGCTAGCAGACCGTGTGACTCTGCCAGGTGAGATGCACAAAGTATATTTTTTTAAAAAACGCAAAATTATGACTAAAGCAAAAAGAAAAGGAAGGAAGGAAGGAAGGAAAGAAAACGAATGGCTGCTGGTCAGTTTGCTGCTTAGACTGCAAACTGGTTATTAGAAGTAAGGATTCCTGGGAAGGAGGCGCAGCTGGCCCTGGAGGGACTGCAAGTGGGGCTAAGAGATTCAAGGTCTAGGTGGTCACTTCCCCCTGTTTTCCATTAGTCAGACCACATGGCCTCTGGAGCACACCTCTTTCCTTCCTTCCTTCAGGTGCCCACTCACCAGCACGCATGTGGCAAAACCCCACACACCCCAGCCTAAAACCGTGTGATCATCAGCCCAGTGCTCAACCTCTGACAATGGTTTCTCAGGCTCAGTTCAGATTCTTGACAGAGACTACCCCTTTGGCTGCCAAGTGCAAGGTCAGGTGTTCAGTCAGATTCATTGAGCTGTAGCTAGAGGGGCAGGGACCACCGGGAGGAAAGACTTGCCAAGGTAACTGCGAGTGTGTGTAGAACAGACAGACAGGCACAACAGCCCAAGTAAGAACTTAGGGCCGGCAAGCATAGTAAAACGTGCCTGTTAGTATAGTATGTGTCTGGAAGTCACTAGTGCTTTTTTTTAGGCAGGGTAAGTTAGGGGAGGGGTGTCTGACAGGAGCCCATGGTTGTGTCTTCCCCCACGCGTGTTTCTATAACATTTGGGACCTTCCTTTGTACAGGCCATTGAGCTGCTAGAAACACAGATTTCTTGCAAGAATAAGCAGGTCCCTGCCCTCAGGTGCTTCCAACCTCTCATGTTGGAGCGGGTGGAGAAGAGGGGCTGGCAGCCAGGGAAAGGTTGGTGGTGCAGTTCGGTGAGGCCTGAGTGCATTCAGTTTCACTCCAGTTATTTCTTCCAGGAGCTGGCTTGCTTCTATCACGGGCACAAGACATGAGCCTAGTCACAGCTGGAGCAGCCATGCAGGGGAAGATCCAGCCGAGTAACAGACTTGGTTCCTTTTGGATCCTGATTTGTGCCAGGAAGCGCGCTGCGTGCGTGCGGAGCAGGGGGAAATGAAGCTTCCAGGCGCAGGGCTCCCAGCCAGGAGGGTCACCCAGACATACACAGGGACACACAGACAGGGCCGCACGTCCTCCAGCCTGCGCGGGCAGCCCCGGGGCGCAGCTCCTTCCCTGCAGGGCGGAGGGCGGCGCGAGGGAGGGAGCGAGGGAAGGGAAAGGCGAGCGGGAGCTGCCTCAAATGCTTGGAATAATTCCGCTTCCGTTTGGAAAGCCGCAGCCTCAGTCCCGCCGCGTCCGCCCTGCTCCAGCTGCAGCTCCGCGTCCCGCTCGGCCCGCGGCTGCCCGCTCCGCCGCCATGGCCAGCTCCCCGCAGAAGTCGCCCTCTGTCCCCAAGTCCCCCACTCCCAAGTCTCCCCCGTCCCGCAAGAAAGATGACTCCTTCTTGGGGAAACTCGGAGGGACCCTGGCCCGGAGGAAGAAAGCCAAGGAGGGTAAGCGTGGCCTGGCCCCGAGCGCCGTAGGGAGGTGGGCCGAGGAGCCGGCCGGGCGCGCGCGGCGGGTGCCCGGGGCGGTGGGGCGCGCGGAGGGGCGGACGCGCGCTTCCTGAAGCCGGGCGGGAGCCGGGCGCGCCCCGCACTGCAGCCCTGTGACCCCTGCGCCCCTGGGCCGTCGGGGCCATCGAGGCCGCGCGGCCGCCCCTGCGCTGCTGTCCTGGGCCTGGGACCAGGCGGACGCCCCCGCTGGGCCATGGGCAGGCGCCGCGTGGCTTCGGGAGGCGGCGGGACCCGGAGCCCAGGCCCAGACCCAGACCCGGCCGGGCCCGGCCCCTGAGCAGCGCACTCCAACAGGCCGGTGTCCCCGCCCTCTCCGCGCCCGAGGGCTGGCATTTCCCTAGTTTCTGCTGAAACTTTTCTGGGCGCCGTCACTCTCCCTCTTTGCCTTCATTGGTCTTTGAAATCAGGTCGTTTCCAGGATTTGCTGAATCTTTTTTCTGCAACGTTATCCGGTTAGCCTCTTTGGATCTGAGCAGTATCAAATGTTTGTTGAATGAATGCACGAAGAACTGGCCGTACCAGTGGTTCTGCCTTGTAGTGAATGGTAAACATTCACCTGGTTTGGATACAAATAGCACGTTGGGCCATGACCCTGCTGTGAACTCAAGCCTTCAGGGCTTTTACAAAAAATCATTTTCTTTTTCCCACCAGGGTGAAAAAAGAAACTATCCTGTTTCTTTCCAGGATAGTTTGGAGGATAGTTTGTAAAATACCTCGTCCTCTAAGCAGATTTAGCATCCTGGGTTTTGGTGTGAAAAATGGGGTGGTAGCTCTCAGGAAGCAGCGGCCATGGATGTGTGGATAGAAGTTGCTGGGTTAAAAGTGTTTTCAGCTAGGTGTGGTGGAGGGTTTCTGAAATCCCAGCAGGCTGAGGCAGGAGGATCGTGAGTTTGAGGCCACCCTGAGCTACATAGGAAGACCTTCTCAGTGGATTGGAAGTAGCCCTTTGGAAAGCTGTGATGGTGAGATGCAAAACAACCTTCATCTTCTCAAGCTATCTTAAAGCATAAAACCAACTTTGGTATTGAGAATTAGCAAACTCAGACAAAAGAACTGCACACGTGTTCTTTAGATTAAAGTAAGAAGCAGCAAAACACATCCTCAAAGTTCTCCCTCAATTTTATTACAGCAGTTCCCCCCCCCATCCTTAGGGAATCCATTCCAAAATTTCCCTTGAATGCCTGGACCCTGTATATACTGGTTTTTTCCTATGTACACATACCTATGATGAAGTTTAATCTGTAAGTTAGGCACAGTAAGAGATTAACAACAGTAACTAATAATGAAATAGAACAATTATAACAATATATTATAATAAAAGTTATATGAATGTAGTCTCTCTCAAAAAGTCTTACTGTATTATACTCACCCTAGTGATGATGTGAGATGATACAGTGCCTAAGAGAGGAGATGAAGTGAGGTGAGTGGCGTGGGCACCGTGGTGTAGTGCTAAGCTACTACTGAGGTGTTATTTGAACACAAGCGCTGTGATACTGTGACAGTCCCTCTGATGAGACAATAACCAAAGTGGCTACTAAGTGACTGAGTGAGTAGCATATACTGTGTGGATACACTGGGCAAAGAGATGATTCATGTTCGGGGCAAGAGGGGCATGGGATGATAGGAGATTTCATCATGCTATTCAGAATGGTATGCAATTTAAAAGTTATGCGTTATTTATTTCTGGAATTTTCAATTTATTATTGCCTGACCATAGTTGACTGCAGGTAACTGAAAGTGCTGAAGGCAAAACTGGATGGGAAGGGGAATCTACAGTGTTTTGGTAAACCGTTGATCAGTGTACAGTTGGTGGTTAACCATGAAATCCTCTAGAAAATGGCAGAAAATAGGAAAGTGCCCTTGGCTGCTTAGAGCACAGTGTCTGTGCTAGAATTAGGGAGGTGGCAGTTCTGTTCCCATTTATTGGTTGGCTTTGACTACTACTGTACTGTGTTGACTTCTGGGTAGCTCACTTTGACAGGTTCTCTTAAGTCCTCTCCACGGCACTCCATCTTCTGTCATTTTTTAGACTGTCCTAACTTTCCCAACTGTCCTAGACTTTCCTAACTTTCTGTGTTCCTGATACAGACTCATGCAACTTAGACGGGTGACTCAGAATTACCAAAGCTCGAGAGTGTTTACCCCACCTTTACCAATGATGGGAAAAGTTCACAGTTAGCCAAAAGGTGGTCTCTCTGTACCCGCTACTATTTTGAATCTGAAGATGGCCATTTACCCTTTTCAAGTAGACTACTGCTTTCTGGAGGCTTCCCTTGGCCAGGCTGCATATCCTTTGTCTCTAGAGAGCTGGTTGTTATAGTTAGGATCCTAAGGCTCTCTGACATCCTGTCTCTTCAGTTTTATCAGGGTTCCTGCAGGAAACAAAGGCCAACTTAGTTGAGATTTTGGAAATAATTAGCAAAGATGTTATTTACAGAGCTGCAGGCAGGGCTGGCTTTGAACCACAATCCTGATCTCTGCCTCTGAGTAACTAGGATTATAAGTGTGAGCCACCAGCACCTGGCTGGGCAGGGTTAAGGGAACCAACAGGGATGCTAACGTACCTGGGGTCTAGCAACAGTGGGACTCTGCTACGCCCCTAGGCCCGAATGGACAGGGAAGCAAACTAGAATCCAGTACAAGCTGGAGCTTGGAAGACTGTCCTGCAGGAACAGAATTATATAGATTGAGGGGGAGAGAATGGGGCAAAAAAGGCATGTTCTCTTTCTTCATGCCCTTGAATGTGCTGGTGCTTCCCATTGGCTGTAGGACCAGTGCTTACATATTCTTCAGCAGAGGCTAGATGGAGTGAAGCAGAGAGGACCTAACAGAACCTGTCGGAATGAGCTACCCAGAAGTCAACACAGTACAGTAGTAGTCAAAGCCAACCAGCCCAAATTGGAACGGGATTGTTGCCTCCTAATTCTAGCACAGACACTGTATCCTGTTAATGCAGCCAAAGGTACTTTCCTTTCTTCTGCCAGCCACATCATACAGTGTCTCATTGAGCTTGTTTTCAGCTTACTCAAAGGCGTTTTTGTATTTGTGGCTCCTAAATCATGCCCTTCCCTGTCTCAGATTTACTCAACCGGGTTTTCGAAACCAAGTGTAAGGTTTTGTGTTATCCCTGTTATATTTAACTGTGAAGTCCTGTTTCTGTCATCCAGTGGATTAGCAAATGCAGGAGCCATAAATGGGTGAATGGGAGAGTGCAGGACTACAGGAGCTGGTCACCACCCACCACCCTGCTGTAGCTGCTTGGTGCTGCCCCACGGTGACTCTGTGAGCCAGGCAAAAAGAGGTAGGGGTTGCTGAGAAATGACTGAACCTGGTGTGTGCATGCTGGGCCTCAGGGACCAGAGCTGCCCCTCACCCAGGGCCCACGAACCGTCACTAACGTAATACGGGACTGGGTCTTGCTGTGCATCATGCATGAGTTCACAGCTCTGTACTTTGCAGACTCTGCCCTCTACTTTCATCTCATTCTTTGATTCTCTCAAGTCACTGATGGCAATCTGTCTATATATTATCCCAGTGCTTCTGCATAGAATTCTCCTGGGCCCAAGAATTCCAGCTCATCATTTGACACCTGCTCTGTCCCACTGTAGGACACACAGATTGGAAAGACATGACGCATGTTAGAATGTTTAGGTCAACAATTTCATATAAAAATGTCTTCCTCAGAATATTTCTTATATATACCACAGAATAACTGGGTCTCATAAAAATATGGTAGAGTCTCCACTCTTGTGCTTTCAGAAGAAAATGATAGTGCTAGAGAGACGAGAGAATGGGGATAAAAGCATGGCCTTTAGGATCTACCACATTTGGGTTTGATTTCTGTTCTAGCCCCTTACTTAACTGCTGTGATGTAGGAGAAGTTCCTTAAACCTTTAAGCCTCTATTTCTTTCCTCATCTTTAAGATGGGAAAAAGAAATCCTTCCAATTTGATTTATATTTTTGCTATGCTGGAGTTTGAACCCAGGGGCTTTTAGCATGCTAGGCAAGTGCTCTACCACTGAGCTATACCACTAGCCCCCTCTCCCCATCCAATTCCTTCTTTAAATGGAAGTTGTGGGACTTAAGCAAGATAGCACATGTAACATACATGGTATGACTCAACTAATGGTAGCTATGAAAATTGACAACTCTGTTTTAAATAGTCTTTGAAATGTGAAATAATCTTTTTATTGTGGACTGCAGAAAATTCTATAGGTCTTCTAAGTAGTCAAGTAGCCATGGACTCTATGAAGTTTATGTGGCACTATTGGTCCCATTAAGAAAGGCACAGGGACCTTTCTTTGCAAGTCAGGCCCTCCTGTTTCCTAGCATGTCACATTTCAGCATTTCAAAATGTCTGTGCCCATTCTCATGAGCTATAGTTAGGTGACTTCTGTTTTGCTCTGGGGATCTTCTCTTTTGGGCTCCCAATTTCCCGTTTGGGTTTCAGTCCTGTGTCAGTGCTTAGACTAGTTGTTCAGAATCTACCTGACAGAGAGAGGGTCACTTCACCTTCCATCCTCCAGATGTGTCCTGAAGACTTACTCTTTCAGGAACACTACCTTGACTTGTCTCTGCCTGCTTAAGGCTCCCCTAAGTAGGTTATCAGCAGGAATGGGACATTCCTGTCATTGTCCCATTTAGTTAAGTTCTTATTCTCACGGTGTTACACTTAGCCCAGTGTCTGAAGGGTCTTATGAAGGTTCTCATGTCATAAGCCTTAAAATAATACTACACTTACCCTTTGGTTCTCACTGGCTGTCCAGCATTGCTAGGGAAACTCCCCAAACCCTGCAGTAGATGCGTGGTGTCTAGAGTGAGCAGAGCCCTCCGCACTGTAGAACATTGCGTTTCTTCTCTCCTAAAATTCTCATTTTACAGAGTGCCTCATCCACCCCTCACCACTCAAGCCCTGCACTAGACCTTGAGATCGAGA